GTACCAGCTCCTCTACAGTGTGGCCTCAGCATCTCATGGCTGGGTTGGTCTGAATTCTTTTGATGAGACTCCATATTCTTCAACTCACACTGTTGGTGTTTTGTTTGCATGTGTGATTTCCCTTACCAGACTGCCAGTTGTTTTGGTATCCCACAGAATACCAGCAACATCTTGGACATGGATTTTCAATGAACACTTCCAAATGAATAAGATGTGTGATGGATTTTTATCCATGGGACATTAGCTTTATATAAGATTTTCAGTTGTTTTATCTATTATTGATCATAGTGAATTGAACCTGGTCAAAATGACAACTTTCTCTAAATTTCCTTAAGGTTCGAATTAGTAGCTTTAGTCAGTCCATGTCCATTAAACCATACAGTAATGTCTTGGAGTTCTATGTAGATCAACTTTGAACTAAACTTGTAATTTTATCTATCTATCTATCTATCTATCTATCTATAGTATGGGTATTGAACCCAGGGGTTCTCTACCACTGAGCTACCTCCCCAGCCCTTTTTATTGTTTCATTTGACAGGGGGTCTTTCCAAATTGCTCAGACTGGCCTCAAACTTGTGATCCTCCTGCCTCAGCCTCTCAAGTTGTTGAGATTGCAGGTGGGCCCCACTGCACCTGTCTAGCATTCTCATTTTTTAAGAGAGAAGAGAATAATCATTATTGATTTCAATGCAGAGTAAGATTCAGGAATTATGGCTGCCTTTTGTAAATATTTTAAAAGAATGTAGAGAAACTTTATGTGGTATTTCATAGATTACTGGCAGAGATTTTTTGTTGTTAATAACTGGCCTTTAAAATTGTGGTTACCAATTCCTTCTTCCAAAGTGAGAACTTTTTGACAATATATATATTTTCCTCCTATATTAAAAACCATATCTCTTACACTTTTTTCTTCCTAAATTGTGTTTTTTTCTTTCTATAGCAAGGATTTAAAGGATTCCAAGTTGCTGCAGACCATCACAATGACCAGAAGACATTTATCTACAATAATAGTGAATTCACCCTTGCTCATGGTTCTGTGGTAATTGCTGCCATTACTAGCTGCACAAATACCAGTAATCCATCTGTGATGTTAGGAGCAGGTAAGTGCATTAGAGTCCATCCCCACTACCATGTGGACATGCTTGCGGAAATCTCCCAAGATATGACCCAGGGTCATAACAGTTGCACACATAGTTCCTTGAACTTTGTCTTTGTAGATAAAGATATTTGTTGGCCCAGAAATATCTATACAACAATAGCATCCAAAGCAGAGTATTTAACAAAGATGCATAATAGTCTCTCTCTTTAGAGAAAATAAGTAGAGGAAACCAAAGGAATCTGAATTTTTTCGAAGCTAGAATCTTTTCAGACTTTAGAAGACAAAAAAAAAAAAAAAAAAGAACCTATTGTCTTGTCACAGACTTTGTTCTCTGTAAAACTCCTGACCAGTGAAATTTAGTATTGTTTAGGTGCATTGGCAAGTGCATCGGAACTAGGGCACAAGGCACTGGTTGATAAAACTCAGTGCACCTGTCATGTTACACAGTTCTGGTTAAATAGTTAATGTTTACATGCAGTGTTTCACTAATATAATATCTCTTTAGTTTCCAAATGTTTAATCATCCCCACGAATTTCCTTTGTGTCCACAGACCAATGTCAATGTAGTTTGTTTATGGGTATAAGGAAAACCTTTGTCAGAGAGTTCATCTTTTGGGTTTAAGCTTTCCTTGTCTGGAACAAACCAGTTTTTCTTAAGACACATCACCAACTTATCTGTAGCTCTTTGTCCCTTTACACCTTCACCCCCATTCCTCGCTTCTTTTCTACTTTTGTGATACTTAACTAAGTGAGAGCACCCAGTGTTCCAGTAACAGTTCCTGTATTTGCTCAAAGTCCAAAGGCCCAGGAGCTCTTGAGAAATATCTGTAGTCTAAATTTTTACTTCTAGACTCACTATATTTCTCACCAACCAGTATACAATTCATAGAAAGAGGCCTTCCAATTATAATTTTCACACAGATCAAACTCAATTTAAAAAACTGCACTTCCTCCAAAAATTAAAAACTCACTTTGTCACATATTTTTAAGTTTTGCGTTTATTCTTTAAAAAAGAAAAGTAAACACGTCTCTTTCTTTATTTTCGTAACTAGTTTTGACTTTATTACAAATGTGTAAACAACTTTGAGCCAGTGAACTTTGATTTCTGATAGTCAGCAGAAATGGCACAGAATGCCAGCACCAAGGAAGCCTTGACAGTGGCAGGGAATATGACTGAAAATTCAGGCTCTTTCCTGAAGTGCCCATAACTTGGGCAGGTAGTCACCACACCCTGTTTGTGCTTACATTTTATAGGATTATTAGCAAAGAAGGCTGTGGATGCTGGCCTGAATGTGAAGCCATACATCAAAACCAGCTTGTCTCCTGGCAGTGGAGTGGTCACTTACTATCTGCGAGAAAGTGGAGTCATGCCTTACCTGTCTCAGCTTGGGTGAGGGAGTATTTTGTTTTACACCGTTGCTTTTGTTGTAGCTTTTCCTCATATATTTTGCTGTGTCACCATGTGGTAGCTATGAGCTTATCTGATGCTGTTCAACAGTATTGTCTTTTATCAGTTGGTAGGTAGATTTAAACCCAGACATTTCAACTGAATATGGCCCACCTGTGCTGGTTGTTCATCATACAAGGATGATCCTAAAGACAAAGCAGGGGCTGAAACTGAGACCACCTAATGTGGGGCTGCACCCTCCTGGAGGAAGGGTGCATCTTTTTCTTACTTGTATTGAGGTATGCCATGGGCTAGCAGAGGCTCTGCAACTGAGAGTATGCCTTTGGGCATGAAAATAAGTATTTACTATGGCTAAAAACATTGTAATTTCTTGAGACAAATCAGTTGCCAAATATAGTTTCTCCAGTGTCCATATTATTCCTGGTTTAGATGACATTTTTTTCTGTACACTTCATAAAATTAAAAAATCCTTGAGATTATACAATAGCAGTAGTAAATGGAAATATTAAATACCATATCTGATTTGAATTTTTTAAAATGGTGAATCATTTATCTCCTTGTTATAAGTTAGAAGGAAAGCTTTAGAAAACAACACTGTCCTGAACTTAACCTAAGGCGCTCCTATTCCTTTGTGATCCATGGTCTCCCAGAAGTACTGCCTGCAAAGGGTTCACGGAAAGTCATTCTTTTTCTTGTGCTTCCCTTTGACTCATAGGTTTGATGTGGTGGGCTATGGCTGCATGACCTGCATTGGCAACAGTGGACCCTTACCTGAACCTGTGGTAGAAGCCATCACTCAGGTAATTACAGAGGAACCTGTAGGTTATTCAGAGCTTTTTTTTTCCCCCATATAAGATGTGACAAAAATGCTGGTAATTTCAAGATACACTGTAAAAACAGGGGATGTGGTTAAGAATATGGTCTTTAAAATATCTGGCTCTGTTACCCTGGTTAAGTTAGTTAACCTGTTTGTTCCTCCGTTTCCACAACTGTAAATTAGAGATGATGATAGTTTCTATTTTATAGAGTTGTGAGAATTAAAATGACAGTCAACATAAAACATTTAGCACAGTGCCTGGCACTTAAGTAAGTGCTCAGTACATGCTAGTTCTGGCTACAATTTTGTTGAAAATTGGTTCCAAGTCAAACTGGTCTCCACCTAAATAATCTAAATTGCATTGGCTTTTGTCCCCAGTACTGTTGAGTTTACATAGGTCACCATAGCTCCCTTTAGCTATCAGCTTATGTTCCCCACCTGTTCTTCAGCTCAGGCAGCAGTATCTGGGAGATTGTGCTTTGACCTGCTTGGAGTTTTCTCATGAGAAGAGATCACTGAGCACAACTCTGCTCCCAAAGACCCTTCTCTCTGTAGCCCGAGAGTACCAGGTGAAAATGAAAGGGCCACACCCACATTATGTGAACTGTTGTGAGTGATCTATGATAAGAAGTCTAGGCAGTCTCTTCCTCTTTATGACTTGATTTTTTGCCATCTTGTCCTTATACAGGGAGACCTAGTAGCTGTTGGAGTACTATCTGGGAACAGGAACTTTGAGGGTCGAGTCCACCCTAACACCCGGGCCAACTATTTAGCGTCTCCTCCCTTAGTAATAGCATACGCAATCGCTGGGACCATCAGGATTGACTTTGAGAAACAACCACTGGGTAAGATTTTGTTTGTGTGTCTATAATTTTTTTTCCAGTGAATTAAAAAACAGTATTGGAAGAAAATTGCTACTTTTCTTGATTAAAAATGAAGCACAGAACCTTTAGAGATAAGACAAAGAGGAGAATATTTTCAACATTCTCCATACACAGGGAAGACACATACTGAACTAAACATGAATGTGGGCAAGAGTGGCAAAGGGAAATAAATGCCAAAAGTAGTAGAGATTTGCTTTCCTGGCTTCTACAGTTCCTCCCTTTCTCACTCTTGCTTTATTCTAATGATAGGCATTGTTTTAACATGTTCTTTGTTAAACGTGTTAAGATATTTCAACTTCTCAAAATTTAGAACTGATGCTTTGACTCCTTTCCTGTGGGCCTCTTGCTTGCTGTACCCTGTCAGTCCATTCCAAGAAGTTTAGATGATACACAAACATTGTCCCTTAGATTTACTTTTAGGAAATCATAACTTCAGAAGTACAGTTGATCCTCATTGTTTGTGGATTCCATATTTGCAATTTTGCCTACCCACTAAAATGTATTTTAACCTTCAGTCAGTACTTCTGATGCTTTAATGCCACTCACATACATGCACAGGAGTGAAAACTTCTCAAGTCACTCAACACATCTTCCATGCTAAAGTCCATGAAGGCTGCACTCTATCTTCTTGTATCAGCTCCCACACTCTGAACAAGTATACTTTTCACAGTCTACTTAGAGCCATTTTTTCCTCATTTTTATGCTTTTTTGTGGTGGTTCCACTTTTAAATTGGTCCTAGAGCATAGTGTGAAGTACTGTGATATTTTGAGCACAAGAAGACCATGGTGGTATACCTTATGTTGAGGTAGGCTTTATTGAGGCATAAGTTACAGTGCTTTTCAATTATAAGTCCAAGGCTACATATATACCCACCACTAAGTATCCATGAGCATTGGTTTCAAGACCCCTGGGGATACCAAAATCAGGAGGCACTCAAGTACCTCATATGAATGGATGTAGTATTTGCATAAACCTACACAAATCATATCTAGATTGTTTATTATGCCTAATGCAATGTTAATGCTATATAAAATAGATTTATAACTATTGTACTGTTTAGAGAATAATGATAAAAATATCTATACATGTACAATATGATGAAATTTTTTTTCCCTGAGCATTTTCAATCCATTGTTGGTTCAGCAGATGCAGAACCCACAGATACAGAGGCCCAACTGTATATTAAAAAGATATCTTTAAACAGGAGGACACCTAAAACAAGTTTATGTATGGATGAAAGTGTAGTCAGAAGCACCTAGGGCCTTAACCTGTATCTCTCCTAGGAGCAATGGTTCACTGATTGACTCTTCACACATACTTTTCAGAACAAACATAACCATTGAGAGAAAAGAGATCTGACTGTATTAATAATGCAAAGAGGATATTAGAGGAGGCTTTTCTCATTGGTAAACATATTTTCCTCAGGGACAAATGCAAAGGGACAACGAGTATTTCTGAAAGATATCTGGCCCACTCGAGATGAGATCCAGGCGGTGGAGCGACAATATGTCATCCCTGGGATGTTTAAGGAGGTCTATCAGAAAATAGAGGTGAGGCCCTTTGCAGCCCCCCAATGATATATGAGAAAGCCTCTCCTCTAACATACTCCCATTAACTTCAGACCTTGAAGTTAATGGGAATATGTATTGAAATTAACCCTTATTTCTTCAGATAACTAAGGAGGTGATTCTCAGGCAGTTTTCTCCCATGATTTCATGTTTCTATGAATCTCACACTCCCCAGTTGTTCTCAGATATGGACAAGTGTGTGAGAGCCTCAAGAAGAAAGGCCTCAGGTTCAGCACCACCCTTTTCTCAGACACCCTGGGAGGTGTGTCATCTGTGGTGAGGACCCTGATGGTCACTGTGTTGTGTCACTGAGGTGGAATCAGTGGGTTGAATGTACCTCTTAATGCATTATTTGGGTGTTTAAAAAAAGAGAGAAAACCTCAGTAGGAATTAGCCACAAACTGCTGAAATAAGAAAAGTAAAGTGCATTTTATAAATCTGAATCATTTTTGGAGATTCTTGGTTGTAATTCCTTTCCTTGGAGGCTTGTGAAGGCTCAAACACCCTGTTATCATTGGATGTTGTTCCTTTTGTTGCTTTTTGTGTTAAGCTGCCCAAGACTTCTGACTGGTTTGAAATGAGAGCAGGACTGTCTGGGGACAGAGTGAAATGGTCAGTTGTACTGAGGCATCCCGTACCCTTCCACAAGCTGCTCACTGGATTTTAGGAGGCTTGGCAGCCATCTGGTTAAACGCATTTCTCCAAAGGCCAAGTTAATGGATCTGTGAAGAGAATTCAGTTCATTTTTAAAACATTGCAACGGTTATTTGCTATCCATATGACCTGGAAGTCTACTTCCTAAAAATATCCAGAGTAGTTTCCCCTTTGGTACAATCCGGATTGTTATTTTAAATATTATCTTTAATTATATGTATTCATTATCTATTGCTATATAACAGATTACCCCAAAACTGAGAAAATCAAAACAAAAAAATATTTATTACCTCTGTTCCTCTGAGTTAGGAATACAGATGCAGCCTCACTGGGTGCCAGTACTTTCAGGACTCGAAGCAAAGTATCATTGGGGCTGTGGTCTCTGGAGGAGTATCCACTTAGGCTCACTCATGTAATATGAGACTAAGATCCTCAATTCTCCACTGGCTGTCATCTAGGGACCTCCTAAAGCATCTTTTGCATGCGTCTCTTCACAGTTCACAATATGGGAGCTGGCTTCCATCAGAGCCAGTAAATAAGAGAAGCAGAAGGCAAAGTGTCTTTATAACCTAATCTTGGAAATAAGTCATAGGATCAGCCAATGCTGGACGGGAGCGGGGTTACCTAAGGGTATAAATCCTGGGGATAGGACCATTCTTGCCATTTTATAGCCCTCTTATATCAGAGCTTATTTATTTTTAAGTTAGCGTGACATTGTCTTAGTATAAAGGAACTCTTGCATGTGACTATTTAGAATAAAAATGATTGCTATTGTACCTCTTAGCTTGAATGTTTTGTGTTTGCATATTTAAATTTTCCCTGGAATAGATTATGATTAGATTTTTTTTTTTTAAAGACTGTGAATGAAAGCTGGAATGCTTTAGGAGCTCCATCAGATAAGCTGTACTTCTGGAATCCCAAATCTACATATATTAAATCACCACCATTCTTTGAAAATCTGGTATGACTTTTTATTTTTTAACAAAACAAGTTCTTTAAGAAGTTTCTATCCTTATAAAATCCACTTTATTATCCTTATAAAATCCACTTTATTATTCCATACTTTTGCTTTGACTATCCATTTCATTAAAACCTTTGTACATTCATGCTGTACACAGTGGCACATGCCTGTAATCCCAGTGGCTTGGGAGGCTGAGACAGGAGGATTGTAAGTTCAAAGCCTCAGCAATTAACAAAGCCTTAAGCAATTTAGTAAGACCCTGCCTCAAAATAAAAAATCAAAAGGGCCAGGAATATGGCTCAGTTGTTGAGTGCCCCTGGGTTCAATCCTTGGCACCAAAAAAAAAAAAAAAACCACCTTTGTATATTCAAGCAGATAATGCTGGGGAATGTTTTAGGAGTCAGCTACTTAGCTGTAGTGATAGTTTCTCTGTGTGGCTCTGCAGAGGCATCATGATGATAGCTGCCACTAGGATAAGGGCCTGCAAAGTCTGAGGGACTGTTCCGAAAGAACATCCCCAGGACCTACCACGTTTAAAATCTTACCCCCACCCCACCCCGCTCCTCGATGGTCACTGTGGAAGGGGAAGGGAGAAATCGGGATTCTAGTTATCCTTGGTAATTGAGTTCTATGGAGAAGAATGAATGTCATTTGCAGCTGCATTCATGTCTCTTTTGGCCAGACATGCCAATACTTGGCCTTCTCTTGAGGTTGAGATATGAATGTTTTTAGTAAGTTCACATTACTTTTTCTAAGCACCAGAAAACTAAGCTATTCTATCCATTTATATAAAAGTGTCATCTGGTCCAGTTTCATGGACTCCTACTATTGAGTCTCACCTAGTGACTTTTTGAGAAAACCTGGGTAAATACGGACTTGTTCTATTCTTTACTAGACTTTGGATCTTCAGCCCCCTAAATCTATAGTGGATGCCTACGTTCTATTAAATTTGGGAGATTCGGTAACAACTGACCACATCTCTCCAGCTGGAAATATTGCAAGAAATAGCCCTGCTGCTCGTTACTTAACTAATAGAGGGTAAGTATGAGTGAGGTGGAAAAGACTAAAGGCCAAAGTAGAATAAATGAAATGAAGAGGGCCAGTGTTTCTCGTTACATGGTCTTTGTGGAACCAGAGTCTGGTTTTTCACTGAACTCTGGAATTCAAAAATCAGTCACTTTTTCTGTTTGTTCATAGCGCAGGAATCCCAGCAATGGGAGGGGAAAACAGTCTTCTTTTTGAGCAAGTGTGTAAGTTAGGCTCATCTGTTATCTAGTGGTGGATGTAGCTTATGCTTCAGGCCCACAGTGATATAACCCAAAATGCCTTTGCCATGTCTTTATAGCAGTGGTTCTTTGTAAACACAGAACTGCTTCAGGAATTTGCAGTTCATTCATCCATTCATCAGTTCTTTAGACATATACTGATATTCACAGGGAGTATATCAGTATTGCCTATTATCTAATATACTGATATTAACTGAAGTCAGTGGTTCCCAAATCTGACTATGAGAGTTATAAGGGGAAATAAGAATTACTGGTTCTTGTCCCTTCCTCCAGAATCAACTCTTTCAGGGATGGGGCCCAGAGCAAATTTGAGTAATAGAATCCACTCACTTTTTCTCTAGTGGTGATTCTTGACCTCATTTGACATATGAAATCCTTGGTGAGCTGAAAGGAAGCAAGCATTTTGAATAGGATTTCAGGGATTCATAGGCATGTTTGCCTGCTCTTGACACCCAGTCATAAAATGAATCTGTAACCATAAATCAAGTTAATACTCACACCCATCCCTTGGTTGGTTGTTTTTTGTTTTTGTTTTTGTGTTTTGTTTTGGTACTGGGGATTGAACCAAGGGACACTTAACCACTGAGCCACATCCTTAGCCCTTCTCATTTTTTGCAAGGTCTTGCTACATTTTTTAGGGCCTTGCTACATTGCTAAGGCTGGCTTTGAACTTGTGACCCTCTTGCCTCAGTCTCCAGAACCACTGGGATTACAGGTTTGCTTCACCATGCCCAGCCACCCCCTTGTATTTTAAAGAACAAGCTGGTGAACTGTTCACTATATTAATTGTAAGATAATGTTCTTGACAACACAGTTTTCTTTTGTTGGTTCCCACAAATAGGATATTTCTCTGGTTCTGGGACCAGAAATATATGTTCTGCCTCTTTGGCACTGCTTTGGTTTTTTATATTATGAAAGTTGTAAATTATGTTGCCAATGTGTGGCTTCTTTTTGCATTGAGTTCCTCATAACGTGAGTATGCATTTGAATTTACTTCTGGTTGGTTTATGGAATGTATTTTGTTGTCTCCCATCTTTGACTCCATCAGACTGATCTACGCTGATTATTCTCTTATTTCTATTTTCTTAATTTTAAGTTAGCTGTTTTATGTTATGTGAAACTTTATAAGCTACCCAACTGAGTAATAAATACTCTTTTTAGAATTCCTCCTGATTTTTCTATCCAAATATAAAATGCACCGAGTTGACCCAAGGTGAATATTGATTCCTGCCCTTCTCCACCTGACTTGTCACTCTGCCCCTAGTTGAAGCTATAACAACAGCTCTTCTGCCTTGGAGAACACCTTAGTAGACTTAGAGAAATGGCAGGTTTATGGTATTTTTCTTTTCTGGTGTAAGCTAAGTTTAATCTTGGCTAACTTCACTAAACTAGCTCCTATTCTGCTTGCATTATTAGCCTAACTCCTCGAGACTTCAATTCCTATGGCTCCCGCCGAGGGAATGATGCCATCATGGCACGGGGAACCTTTGCCAACATTCGCTTGTTAAACAAATTTTTGAACAAGCAGGCACCACAGACTATACATCTTCCTTCTGGAGAAACTGTGAGTATCCTCTCTTCTGCTTCCTTCAGAAACCTGTGTTTTTTGGGCTCTTGGAGGCTGGTTATTTACAGTGACTTTCCTTTAGGTTTCATTTTTGTTTTCCAACTCTATTCTACCTCTGGCTTCCTCCAGTTCCTCTTTCCATGTGCCCATATGTGTGGAGTTCATCACTGATAGAAATTTTTACCTAAGAGATTCTGCACTGTGGTTTAACCAAGTCTTACTTCCAGGGAGTTGAAAGTTTGAGTGAAATTTCATCCAATTATATATTGGGAAAATTTCAGGTTAGAGAATATTTTTCTCAAGAAGGGTTACGGTATGACTTATTAGCATTTAATGCACTATATCTACTAGAACAAGGAATACAGAGGCCCTTATAGGCCTGAGTTCTCAGGGAAGCCATTTGAAGTTGGTATATTCCAGCTAGGCTTGTGTTACAATGTGGGTCCTGTGAGCAGCTGGGAAACCTGTACCTTGAACCGTGTGAAGCTGGGCTTAAATCCTGCACCACCTCATATGAGATGTGGATCCTTTGGTGGGTGGTTTCCTTCTCTGAGTTTCTCTTTTCTTACCTGTGAAGTAGAAATCATACCTATTTCATACGACTTTGAGGCTTAAAATGAAATGGAATGATGTGTAAAACCTGGCATAGTGTCTGCCACAGGATGTAGGTCCTCATGTCACTCCCCTTCCTAGGGAATGCTGAGAAACTGCTTGTAAACTGTTTAGCCTGCTTTAGAAATAACCTTGCCAACTTATTTAAAAATAATAGCAGCCAAGATTTCTACAGATCTTGCTATATTACAGGTATTCTTATAAGCCTTTCCATATATGGACTTATTTAGCTCTCACAACCCCTTAAGGCAGATGTAATAATTATCTGTACTTAAGTTGAGAACCTGAGCATAATAAGTCTCTAAGGTTGCAGTGGAAAAAAAAAATTAGAGATTAAAACTCAAGGATTGGCTCTAAAGTTAGTGCCCTTGACTTCCCCACATGCTTCTATACTCACAACTGACTATATTTTTGTCAGGCAAGTGCTTTGTTTTGAGATAATTGGATCCTCACCAGAACAAGCCCAGCAGATGCTTGTTTAATGAGTGGCAGGGATCATAAACTATCACATGGAAAAGGTAGATACAAATGATGGAATACCCAAGAGACTAAGGGGAAAGATGGGAGCAGGGACAATAAAATATGTCAGAGTAACTCTGTCATGATGTAGGACTGACTTCTAGTCAGATGCTTAGTGCCTCATTTCAAATAAGGACAAATAATCAGGGAAGAGCAGACATTTGAACCAAGATTTGAACTTGAAAAACCAACCTATACAAAGAAGGGTGCTGTAGGGGGACAGAGACCTTGCAAAAGATAGAAAACTTTAAGAAAAAGAATCACCTCTTCAGAGAAATGAATTAAAAACAAAACAGTCACTCAAAAAATTCAGAGGAAAAGATAATTAATTTAGAAAGTCTCCTGGAATATAGAACAGAATGACAAAGAGAAAATTAGAAGATGGAAGAAAATTAAGAACTGAACTCTGGAGGCCCAACATTTGACTAAGTATAGGTACTAAAAAGAAAACAAACAAGATAGAAGGAAATTATCAGAGTAATAACACAATAAAGAACTTTCCCCAACTAAAGCATCTGAGGATGCAGATTGAAAAATTCACTGAATACTTAACCAGTGCTTTACAGAGAC